TACCGTCCGCGGTGATGATGAGTGGCGGTGTTCTTGATGTAGATACCAAGATGATGGAGACTCGTCCCTAAGTAGCCGAAACACCTTAGGAAATGGAAAAACCGCGAACTCAAAATCTCAAATGTCAAATGGTAGTAGCGGGAATGCGGTGGTGGTTGCGGAAGCTCAAAGGGATTGTGGAAATGCAATGATGGGTTTTGCGAGTAGGCAATGCGGAAATGGAGGGTAAGGTGGTGGACTATACACGGTGTCGGAGTTGGAAGCACGATCCCTAAGTAGCTGAAACACCTTAGGAGACATAACTCACAACACAAACAAAATTGGGTTAGGTTGGGGTGACGGAAGTGTATGGTGGGTAAGCCTATGCGGAAGTGGTGGTGGTGCTTGATGAGGAAGCAACCGTCCCTAAGTAGCCGAAACACCTTAGGAGACTCGAATCACTACTCAAGCAACCACATATGCAATGGGGAACAAAGTTGGTTAGGTTGCGGAAGTCGGTGGTGGTCTAGCGGATGATGTGGTGGAAGCCCTAGGCAAAGATGCCAAAGTTCCAAAAATTTCATGGGTTCAAAAGGTGGTTAAACCAAGGTGAGGTCTTCGGGCATGTCGATAGCTTCAAAATGAGCCAAAGAACACTCAAATCGGAGTTCGGAGCGAAAAGTTGTGATGAAAACGGTGAAGGAGGGTGATGCTGAAATTCTATGCAATGTCTCGGGTTAGGCTGGACGTTCCAGGCCTTGGGCCGGAAGTTCCGGGGGGGTGGTCGGAAGTTCCCGAGGTCGCATAAAAAGTGCGGGGAGTCTGGGGATTTTTGGGGTAAACTTTCTGGTTAACCCGGAAGTTCGGGGTAAGGACGGAAGTTCCGGGGGACGGACGTTTCCGGGGAGTCCGGAAGTTTCGGGGGTCGTGGAATTTCTTTCGGGACGAACCCTAAATTCCAGATCCGAGAACGGGGGCAGAAAAACTCGATTTCCAAGGTCAAAATTGATGAGATTTTGTGGATGAAAATTGGGGAAAAGATGGGGAAGGCTAGATCCACTTGAGACACAGCGAATCCATGGATCAAAATCAACAAAACATCATCCAAACCAACAAAATCACAAAAACAATTTGGGGGCTATTTTTGATGGGGATTTTCGAATTTAGGACGAAATCAACAAAATTAGGCTAGAAAACAAAGAGGGGAGGCTCCGAAATCGTGATCAACGTGGCTCATGATACCAAGATGATGTAGGGTGAAACCCTATGTGGCCGATTTTTCATGAAAGGAGCAGATCCCGCGATGAACACGAAGAACACGAGGGGAAATCACAAAGGGGCACAAAGAGAAACACTCAAACCAACAAGATTAAGTGACACATGTGCTAGATCCTCGAAACACGAGAGGAGATACAAGATCCACGATCAACAAGGGACGATACAAATGGTAACCGGTCTTCTCCATGAGGAGGTCTTGATGGTCTTCTCCATGAGGAGGTCTTGAATCCAAGTGGATCTTCTCCGAAAAGGGGCCGCGTTCTCTCTCAAGGAGTAGATCCGATATGGATGAGTAAAGCTCTATCTCTAAATGAGCTACTACTTTGCTAACTCTAGAAAGGAGGAGGTGGAGGAGTATATATAGTCTAGGTCCACGAATAGGTAAATGAGTGGCGAAAGGGTACATGGGCTTAGGCCCGAGTGTCTGCGCGCGGGTAGGGCCGGAAGTTCCGGCCAGGTTCCGTCCAGGCTCCGGGCTATCCAGAGAGTTGGCGAGCTCGGGGCTGGTCTGGACTCTGGGGGGCGGAGGTTCCGGGTAGACCGGAAGGTCCGGGCAGAGGCCGGAAGTTCCGGGCTTTCTAGAAGCTTGTCCGCGCTTCTTCTTCCTTCTCTTCCACGCTTCCCTTGCGGATGGTGTAGTTGTTTCTTGGCGCTTGCGTTCCTCCTCGTCGTCCATGAAGCTCCGACAATACCTATGCATGCACATGGGAGAAGTGTCAAGTAGTATACCATCCTCGAAGGGGTCAAGTGAGCATGTGTAAAGGAGATGATTCACCTTTATGTATGTGAAATAGATGTGACACGTGTCACTTGCCGAATAAACTCTTGACATGGTGATGTTCATAGGATGCTCCGCATCAAGTTTGGTTCTTTTTTTTGAGCAAATTAAGTTTGGTACGGTGGAGTGTACATTTTGCTTTGTCTTTCGCCCCCAGTCGGTGTGCCCCGTAAGTAGGCTTCAAGTGAAATAACTAATGAAGCACTCTTTACAAGTTCACTCTCACCTCTTTAAGTTGTGACAAGTGACGCACAGTATGTACACGCTACTTGTCGCAACATGGAAGTATTATCTTTTTTTAGATCTGTTTAGTCAAAACGTCTTAAATCATGCATCCAAATCTCGAACCTTTCACGGTTGAATTCCTCGTGTCAAGATCTTTAAAACTACATCCCATGTTGATAAGTTTTGACGAATATTCTTTTTCCAAAAAAAGAGACAAAGATATTGAACTGGGAGCATGTTTTTTTCCCTTTTCAAAAAAAGGCACGACTATGCCTCTCACGAAAGCAAAACCGTACCTCTGCGAAAAGCAAATCCGTGCTTCTTGTGGAAGGAAAAAACATGTCTTTTTTCATGGCGCCTCTCGCGGAAGCAAAACCATACCTCTCACGAAAGTAAATCCGTGCCTCTCGCGAAAGAAAAATAGAAAATAAATCATGTTTTTTTTCGTTTCCGAGAGGCATGGCAATGCCTTGTGCAGAAGGAAAAAACACACATCTTTTTCGTTTCCGAGAGGCATGACTGTGCCGCTCACGGAAGCAAATCTATAAAACCGTGTCTCTCGCGAAAGCAAACAAAAACACATTTTTTTGCGCAAAATAAAATTTATTCATCTTGTCCAAAATTTAAGAAAGATCAGTGAAAAACTAAAAAGAAAAAAACAAAAAAACATCTAAAAAACCGAAAACACATGCGAAAAAACAAAATAAAAGAAAATCGGAGGAAGCGCCAAAACACTATACATAGCGGCGGATGAGAACGGGTAAAGTGACGCTCTTAGCCCATCCTAGATGATCCTTGCGGGGATCCCGAACGGAGCATTCGCTAGTTAGTTTTTGTTTTTTGAGACACCCTTGCTAATTTTTTAACACAGTACAGACGCAAACGCTTATATACACGTGCATACACTTACCTCAGCCCAAATCATGATCTTCACCAACTTGAATTTGGTTCTCTCATGAAAATCGCGAGTTGCAGAGATGAGAACCATGAAAAGCAAGATCCCGAATAAGAAAACAGAAATCGAGGAAGAGGAAACCACAAGAGTGAAGACTAGTAGAGTCTCGTCTTTTGTCATTCTTTGCTCCTTTTTAACTCAATGATTCTTTCGAATTTGTCGACCAAAAATTCTATATATCTATTCTATCTATGATATTTTGAGTCGGTATATTATCTTGAAATTTAGTTAGTCATCGTAGGCCGGAAATGCGCATTGCCGGAAATCCTGAAATAAATTCAAAAATAAATGTGAGCAACATAACTTGAACCCTAGTGAACTGGAGATACCACAGTCCCTTCAACCATCCAACCACAGATTGGTTCGCGACACCCTAGCTAGTTGCCCACGGTTTCAACTTTCAAGAGGCTGAAGCGTGTCATCCAACAAACCAATTTTATATTTCTATATCAATCTTACTCCAGCCCATTAGCCACCTCCGCAGCCCACAGCCCATGCACTTTTCCAGCACGATCTGTTTCGTCCAACTCCAACACGAACAGCCGCCATTAGCGAGCAGCGAACGCTGGGCTCGAGCCTCTAACCCTAGCTAGCGACGAGCGGACGCAGGGCAACCAGCAGCCGGCGCCCGGCGAGCCGGCGACAGTGGCTAGCTTTTCCGGCGGCAAGCAGCAGCCCGTGCCCTGTGGCCCACGGCAAGCATCATCCACGCCCCGCGCGCCAACGACAAGCAGCAGCGGCTGTTGAGCGGCGGACCCTAGCCGCCTAGCGTCGGGATTACGAAGCAGCAGCCGGCTCCCGCGCCAGGATCCAGGAGCCGCGGGCACACCGCCCACGACCTAGCGGCATCCAGCAAAATCAAGGTACATGTCAGTCAAATCCTCAATATTTTGCTAAGCCAGTTCATGTACTGTTAGTTAATTACTACCCCCTCTGTACCACAATACTTATTGCTGGGGAAACTTTTATTAGTTTTCCTCAACTACTAGTATTTCAGTATAGAGGGAGTACAATTCATGTGCTGTTAGCTGCTGTTAATTGATGTGGTATCCAATACAACTTATTTGCCGATCTATAAAAATGAAGAGCACGAATATGATCATGCAAGTAGTTCAAGCACTCCTCTTGTTGAACCTAAAGCTGTCCCAGTTAAGGATTTAGAACCCCTTCCCTTAACTACATGTGCTAAAAAGATTCAAATTTGATCTTTTTGAGAAAATCCAGAAATATTCCAGTAAATATTACATGTACCTAGTAGTAATTTGGACGACAGGATCCAGAGATAATGAGTATTTTCTTTTCAAAAGGGCGTTTAGTTTTCTCACTGCTAACTTTGAGTCCACCCTACATTTTCTTCCTGGATTCGCCACTGGCCCCAGACAATCTTGTTTAGTTCCGCCACAGTCAAGTTTGCTTTGGTCTATGAGCTCCACCTATATTTTGTCTTGTCTTGGCTGCTGCTGACCTGTACTGATCACTAAACCAAACACATTGATTACTAGAACTAATATATATCATCTTGTATCATTTGTTTTTTTACTAGGGAATGTAGGAACCAGATCCATTAGCACCAATCAGAAGAGACTCTGTGTTGAGCTGGCTCCTGCCATGCCATGGGTGGATGTTGGTAGATTCCAGGCTTTGGCAATACATGGGTGGTACTAGAAGGAACTCAAGGAAGTATCTGCAATTGGTTATGGTTTCATCTTGCTGCTGTTAGCTATTATTATTTAGCGACTGTGATATTCAGCACCCAGGCTGGCTAATTTCTAGTCCTACCACCGGATGTCTCAGCTGAGTCTCTGGCGCCGCCACGGTGCTAAGAGAGCCCTGCAATTACTCCTTCCTTGTAGATTATCGTTATCATCAGTTACACACTCGAATCGAGATCTTAACAGTATTGACCTCACGAAGGAGGAAGAAGCGTCAGCAGCGCAGATCAGGAGTTCTCTTTTGAAGGCACACAATGGAAATGTGCAGGATTTGGTTCAGTCCCTTGGGGTTGACTGTCCGGGAATTCAGCTTACAAGTAACACTGTGGACAGCTTGTTGTGTAAGTTTGGGGATGACTGGAAATCTGCTTTTGGTCTTTTTCAGTGGGCACAGTTGAGTGGCAATTACAAGCACACGGCATATGCTTGTAGTCGGATGATCGACTTGCTTGGGAAGATGAGGCAGATTGACCAGATGTGGGATCTATTGTCTGACATGCACTGCAGAGGCCTTGTGACTGTCGAGACAGCTGCGAAGAGCATCAGGAGGCTGGCAGGTGCAAGGAGATGGAAGGATGCTGTCATGTTGTTCGATAAGCTGGAGGACATGGGGCTGGAGAGGAATACAGAGACTATGAACGTTCTGCTTGATGCACTTTGCAAAGAAAAGAAGGTTGAAGTAGCACGTAAGGTCTTTCTCGTGCTCAGTCCGCACATTCAACCTGATGCATACACATTCAACATTTTCGTCCATGGCTGGTGCAGTGCACGTAGAATCGAGGAGGCAAAGTGGACAATTGAGGAAATGAAAGCCCGGGGGTTTGCGCCTTCAGTTATCACCTACACTGCTGTCCTTGAAGCTTACTGCAAGCAACACAATTTTAGGATGGTCTATGAAATTCTTGATTGGATGTGTTCTGAAGGCTGCCATCCAAACGTCATTACTTTCACTATGATCATGACCTCACTATCAAAATGCCATATGTTCGAAGAAGCTCTGAGTGTATCTAATAGAATGAAGTCCTCTGGCTGTAAGCCCGATACATTGTTCTACAATTCCTTGATTAACGTGCTTGGTAATGCGGGCTATCTGTCTGAAGCTTCCCAGGTGTTTCAAGTGGAGATGCCAATGAATGGCGTGCCCCGTAGTTTGGCTACCTATAACACCATGATATCAATCTTTTGCCAGAAAGACCGAGATGAAGATGCTCTCAATGTGCTGAAAGAAATGGAGGCGCACTCTTGTAAGCCTGATCTTCAGACATATCGGCCACTTCTCAGACTGTTTTTAAGTAGAAGAGGCCAAGCTGATTCCATTCGGAACTTGTTGAATGAGCTGATCAATAAACAAAGTCTATGTTTAGATGTGGATACATACAGTCTTCTGATCCATGGTCTTTGCAGGGTGGGTGAGACTGACTGGGCATATCAGCTGTTTGAAGAGATGGTTGGTAGTGAGATAGTGCCTAGGTATAAAACATGGGAGTTGCTTTTGGATGAAGCACAAAGGAAAAACATGGAGGGTCGTGTCGAAAGAATTCGAAATTACATGACTTGTTTTGGTATTTCCGTTTAATTGGATGAATTATATTCCTACATGATTGATTTTCTAGTGGTCAGCTGATAGCGTTATTTGGCATTACTTTGACAACTAATGAGGCAATGCTTTAAAACATTTGTGCCAATTATACGATATACCACACACTATAATTGAGTTCCTCACTTGACAAAGCAAACATTAATCCCTGTGCATTGGTATGTCGTCACTTGTCAGCATATAAAACCACAGGTTTAATCTTGATCGTTCTCCGAGTAAAAGATCAGGATCAGGCAACCGAGCTGACGCGTGCGTTGGTCACCTGCCATGTCGCATGTGGGTGTCATCTACTCCCTCTCCCTCCGTTTCTAAATATAAATCTTTTTAGAAATTCCAATAAGTGACTACATACGGAGTAAAATGAATGAACCTACACTCTAAAATATGTCTATATACATCCGTATGTAGTTTATATTAAAATGTCTGAAAAGACTTGTATTTAGAAACGGAGGGAGTATCTTGCGAAAAGGTAACTCAATTTCGACCAATTAGTCTATGCGATGTTGTGTACAAGGTAACTTCAGAAATGATTGCGGCCCTTTGAAGAAGATCCTTTTAGATATTATCAACGCAACTTAGAGTGCGTTTGTGCCAGGACGAATGATTACAGACAATATCTTAGTGACATATGAATGCTTCCATACTATAAAGAAAAAAAAGGAATGGTAAAGAGGGTCTGTGTGCCATTAAACTGGATATGCACAAAGTATATGACTGAGTAGAGTGGTCTTTTCTGAAGAAGATTATGCTCAGATTGGATTTCAAGAGAAATGCGTAAATTTAATCATGCAATGTGTAACCTCAGTGGAGTACCGGGTTCGTTTTAATACAAAAGAAACTACGAGTTTCAAACCTACTAGAGGATTAAGGCAGGGAGACCCTCTCTCTCCATACTTATTCTTGCTATGTATAGAGGGATTGACTGCTCTATTTCAAATATGAGTATGGACAAAAGTGATTGTTTCAAATTCCTGATTGATTGAATTATTATGAAAATTAGTGGATAGAAAGAAAACTTGCTATTCGCGGGAGGAAAGGGAATTTTGTTCAAATATGTTGTACAAGCTATCCCTGTTTATGCCATGCTCGTCTTTAAAATTCCTAAAAAAAATTGTAAGGGAATTATTTACGCGATGTTGCAATTTTGATGGGGTGACAAGGACAATAAGAAGAGAATGCATTGGATGACGCAATGGAAGATGCGTGTCCCAAAAGACCAAGGAGGTATGGGTTCCCGAGAAATACACGGTTTCAATATGGCATTGTTAGCCAAGCGTTTGCTTGATAATCATGAGTCTTTATGTGCTACTATCTTGAGAGCTAAATATTCCCCGGAGGGCGATTTAATAAGTGCAACTCTAAAAAAGGGTTCCTCTTTTACTTGGTAAAGTATTATGGCGGGAGTGAATTGTCTAAAAAACGGTTATATCTGGCGAGTTGGAAATGGACATAATATTGATATTTGGAGAGATGTCTGGATCCCTAACTGTGCGAATAGGAAAATTATTACTCCTAGAAGGGGGCATCTTCTATCTAAGGTTTGTGACCTTATTGACCCGGTCACGATCTTGGGATGAAGATTTGGTGAGAGAAACGTTGTGGCCAATTGATGCTCAAAGGGTACTCGCAATTCCACTTTCTATGCATAACATGACCGATTTCTTCCGTTGTTCCAGTATCGTGTGTACTACCACTTATTTTGGGTCTTCTGTTGTCTATTCGGGCCCAACGACAGTAAGGCAGTAGTACTGCTTGCGGTACTTCCACCTCTACCACCGCTCTAGTACCGCTGATCTCGTTGTTACCGAGAACGCTAAGCGGAAATAGAGCGCCAGTTGAGCGGTACTACCGTCTAGTCACTACCACTGCTACTACCGCTTATTTTATCGCCTCTAGACTCGTTTGCCACTTCGCGGCAGTAGGGCCCTAGTAACGCGTGGTAGTACCGCTACTGCGGTACTGCCCTCGTACTCAGCCCTACCACCTCTACTTCCTGTGTACTGCAACCTCAGCGGTAGTACCGCTGGGGCGAGATGTAGTACCGCTCCGGTGGCACTACCGCCTCGGGGTGCTTCGCCCATACACTGTACTACTAGAACTACCACCCGAGCGGTAGTACCACTCCTAAAGCAGAAGTACCACTTGTGTGTGGGTTGTGCACAGAAAACATGATTGTATTCGTTTCCAATATATATAGGGGGTATTCTTCCCCAAGAAGACCTACCTCTTATCCTTCGAAACTCCATTGTTGCTCAAAGCTCCATTTTTGTCCGATCTCTCTCCCAGGCCCAGCCAACAAAACTTGTTGATTTTCTAGGGTTTGGTTGAGAGGGCCCCGATCTACACTTCCACCAAGAGATATTTGATTCCCCCCACTAATCCCTTGCGGATCTTGTTACTTTTGGGTGTTTGAGGACCCTAAATTGTAGAGGTCACCTCGAAGCCACAATCCATTATGGTGAAGCTTCGTGGTGGTGTTGGAAGCCTCCAATTAAGTTGTGGAGAGATCCCCAACCTTGTTTGTAAAGGTCCAGTTGCCACCTTCAAGTGCACCACTAGTGAAAGCACAACATCTTGCATTGTGCGAGGGCGTGAGTAGAATAAGGTGGCCCTAGTAGCTCCTTGGAGAGCATTGTGCCTCCACACCGCTTCAACGGAGACGTACTTCCCTTCAAAAGGAAGGAACTTCGGTAATACATCATCGTCTCCACCGGCTCCACTTGTGGTTATCTCTTACCTTTACTTTGTGCAAGCTATTATTGTGTTGTACTCATGGCTTTCTTGTGGTGTTGTTAGCATCATATAGGTTGTTCACCTAGTTGCATATCTAGACAAGTAGACAACCTATTGGTTGCTAAACCTAATTTGATAAGAAAAGCTAAAAATTGGTAGTTGCCTATTCACCCCCCTCTAGTCAACCATATCGATCATTTTAATTGGTATCAGAGCCTCGTCTCTTTTTAAGGGCTTAACCGCCTAAAGAGTATGGTTGATGACGGTCCATGGGCGGATGAACTACCCACGGCCGAGGCGGTGGCCATGGTCACACGAGAGGACCTACATGAAGATATTGCCTCACTTAGGACCTCTATGAAGACCGAAGTCAAATCCTTGTTTAATTTCCTTGACGGTCTCAAACTTTCTACATCCGCTTCAAGTGGTTAAACCCATTACCGCAGAGTCAGATGCCAACTCCGGTAAGGAGGGGGCTAGTAGTGATAAGAATCCTTTGCCCCAAGGAAGGAATAGGACGGGCATCCATGCTGCAGTTGCCCCTCCCCCGAGCTATGGAGGACCGGTCCATGCACTTCATATCAACCCTCTTGTCCTCCTCCTAAGCTTTTGTTAAATGATTTTCCAAATTGGGTTTTTCGTATCAAGTCTCATTTGAATCAAAGCTCAACACATCTTTGGAGAATCATTGAACAAGGCTTCTACCCGCATGATCCAAACAACTTCACTCCAAGAGAAGAAGTGGACAATCAATACAACCACTCCGCCTTGTTCATTCTTCAAGTCACAATGCCTCCCGAAGAGCTTGCTCATTTGCGCCCATTCACTCTTGCAAAAGATGCATGGGAACACATTATCTCTTTGTACAAGGGAAGCTTGAGTATTCAACGCTCCAACTTTGAGGTGATCCTTGATGAATCCTATCAGTTTGTGATGAATGAAGATGAAGATCCTCGTGAGCTCCACTGAAGATTGACAACTATCGTGGTCTCACTCCGAGATCATGGGAGCAAGGACACAAATGATAGTTGGATCAAGTGCAAGTTCCTCAAGGCCATCATGCCAACAACAAGGCCATGTCCTCCTGATCCATCAAAGACCGGACTTCCGCACATTATCATGATGTGACGTGTTGGATGCATTTATTTCTAAGAACATCTTGAACAAGACCGCCGACAACGCTCTAGCTCATGTCCAACGATCAAAGAAATCCTCACCCAACTTAGCTTTGAAGGCCAAGGATATCCCGGAAGAAGAAGAGGAAGAAGAGGAGAGTTGCCCCGAAGACACAAAATATGCTTACCATGAGCACACAGCTCTTGCGTCAAGGCAATTTTGGGGCAACAAGTGAAACTCAAGGCCCAACTTCTCCAAGAACAACTCAAGTGGCTCCAAGGGCAATCAATGTGTGAGAACTTGCTACAACAGCGGTAATTTGAGTCACTTTGTGGTGGATTGCCCCTATGAGAAGAGGGAAGACAATGGTGGCAAGATCATTTGCAAAGACAAGGCGAAGCCCTTCCCCAACAAGAACAAATTCGCCAAGAGGGTGACACAAAAGGGGTTGGTGGTGCATGAAGAGTACATCTTCGATGACGATGATGCATGCAAGTGGTGAAGGGATGACGATGGCCTCCGTGGCCATTGCCACCTCTTCTCCAACCTTGGTGTCTCTCTTTGATGCCCCCAACGAGAGCCTCATCCCAAAGTGCCTCATGGCAAAAGGCATCAACAAGGTAACCTCCAACATCAAAACTTCCATCACAACTAATCCTTGTTGGATTGTGTGGATGAGAATGAGTTTGACAAGTTCTCGCGTAAGCTCAAAGGTGAGACCAAGAAGCACTTCGTTGCTCTCTTGGAACAACCAGGTGAGGCCAATGACATCATTGAGTCTCATGAGGAGACCATCACTGAGATGGAGGGGCATAGCTGTGCCTATGACGATGAGATAGCGGATCTTCCATTGTTCTGGAGGAAGAGCGAGGTCTTCGTTCGACTCTTGAGGAGCCACAAAATGTTGACCTTGCTAAATTAAGGAAAGATCATGATCATGCACTTGTTCTCGCTTGTGTGCTTAAATCCAAGAAGGTTGAACTTGGGGTTGGCCCTGCAAGACTCAAGGAAGAGTTTGAGTTACTTGACAAGGCTCATAAGGGCTTAAATAGTGCTCATGCTTCTCTCAAGGAGTCTCGTGATCAACTCCAAGTGAAGCTAACCAATGAGATAGCCATTTGCCCTCCTTT